AGTGAGACTCTGTCTCAAAAAAAAAAAAAAAAAAAGAATGGAAATCCAGAAGCAGGTTGGGCAGGAGACGTCCCTCCCTCCCCCTCCCAAGAATAGCCACCACTGGGCGCCTTTCTCCTTGAAAACCCAGAACTGGCAAAAGCAGCCGACAAGCAGCCCAGAGTCCGGGGAGGCAGAGGGACAGAAAGAAGAGCCACCGGAGACATCCGGGTGGCAGAGACCTACCCACCTCCCCGCCCCACCAGCCCACCCGGGAACCACGGCCCACATGCCGGCCCACCTCGCCCTTGTACATCAGGTTTCGGATGTGAGTCCACAGGGCAGTGCCACGAGCACACAGGTGTTTTTCAGCAGAGGCCACCGGGCTCCGGCGCACCCGGCTGGGGTGGAAGTACCGAAGGAGGCCCTGCATGGCGGCGGGGGCTGAGTCTCGCATGCCACAGAGGCAGAGAGGCCGGGAGAGGTTGGATGGGAGCACGGTGGGGAGCGCCCGGCCTCCTCGGCCTTTTGACTAGGCTGCGAGGGAAGCCACGCCCTGCGTCTGGCTGGCCAAGGTCAAAGTTTCCCATTACTCCTGGGTTCCACTTTTTTGTCTGTATGGGAAACCGCCCCCCCCACCACCCCCACACCTATTGGTTACGGGAATTCCAACGTGTCTCCATCTCCTCTTAAGCCCAGAAAAGCTGAGCTTCCTTCTTGAGTGGCTGGTTTCCTGTGGCCAGAGTTTGGAGACACTGAGTAAGGCGTCTGACTGGTCAGTCTAACTCGCACTGAGGTGCTCGGGACTGTCCCAGGGCCCGCGCCACTCCCAGCAGGAACCCCCCAAATGGCACACACTACTTCCGATGGGCCCAGGGCAGAGAACACCCCACATGGCCCCTGCTCTCCCAGAGCAAGCTGGCCAAATGACGAGCAGCCCGACTCCAGCCCCAGCCCTCGTCCACTCCTGGGCACTGGTGTCCAGCACGCGCCCGCCCCACTTGGCCCCGACGTGCCCAGGCAGGCTCTTCACAGGGTCCCTCTCTGAAGCTTCCAGTGACTGAAAATGACCGGGGTGTCAGCCATGAGACACCCAGCCCTCATGGCGGTCCCCGCCGGTGGCTCCAGTGGGAAAGGCTGGCACCACACCAAAGAACAGAGTGTGCTCGGCAGAGCGGAAGCAGCACAAAGACTAGAGCAATGATGAAGCCGGTGCCTGAAGCCCCAAACATCGCTCAAGGCTGGCTGCTCTCTCATGCTGTTATATAAAGCACCAGAGAAGTAAACAAGCAAGGGACCAGGGGTTTGGAAAAACAGATGACCGAGGGGGAAATGGCAGTCAAGGGAAAAACTAAAGCAGTCCGGATGTGTCCGGGTCGCCAGGGTACGGTGAGGAATGTGCCTGCTGCTCCGACCGGGGCCAGTGGCCTCGGCGGGTGGTCCGGGTCTCTGCTCATCTCCCTGGGGGTGGGGCGTGGTGGGGGCCTCGGAATATCAACTGAGGTTGGTGGGCCTGGTGGACAGGGGAATGGAGGTCCACCTAGAAAACTGTCCTGCACGTCCATCCCAGGGAGACCAAGCCCAACTGGGACAGGTGTTGAACACAGCCCTGAAGCATCAGTGACCTCCTTGCATGGTGGTTTACGGAGGACCAAGTGCTGCCTTGCTAGCTCTGTAGCTGGTACGGCCAGATGAGTCGCCAATGGACGGCCACAGGGCATCCTCTTGCCCACTCCTGGCTGGCGTGGAGAGGGGTACGACTAAATTGCCCAAAGGAGGAAATGCTTGTTCTCTCCTCACTCGCCTCCTTGTAGACAACAGCTTCCTCCATGTCCACCGTCACCATCCTGGATGGGGCAGCAGGGTGTCCCCAGCTGCTTCTGTCTGAGCTCTGTGCCTCTGCACTGCAATCTACTTTCAGGGGTGGGTCTTCCCAGATACCAGCAGGGAACCCCTGTGGCTCTCACTATGGTCTTTCCACATGCCCTGGTCTCTTGAACTTTTTCTTTAAAGATAGGGTCTAACTATACAGTGGCACAATCACAGCTCACTGCAACCTTGAACTCCTGGGCTCAAGCAATCCTCCTGCCTCAGCCTCCCGAGTAGCTGGGACTACAGGCCTGCGCCAGGCTTATCCTGTCTTTAACTCTTTGCTGCTCTTCTCTGCTCCCAGCCAGTCTTCAGCATCACTTAAAAAGATCGAGGAACATGCCCTCTTAGGATAGACTATAACTGGCACTGGTGAGGATGTGGAGGACAGGAGCTCTCTCACAGCCGCTGCGGATGTAAAATGGTGAAGCCACTCTGCAAAAATGGCAGTTCCCCAAAATGTCAACCTGCGGTGCAAGGCAGCAATCACACTGGGTGTCTACCCAAGCAGAATGAAAGCATCCAGCCACGCAAAGCCTGGTGCCAAGCACGTGTTCACAGCTGCATCAGCCACAACAGCCCTGAACGAGAAACAACCCAAGTACCTGTCAACTGGCAAATGGAGAAACAAAAATGTGGCATAAAGGCCGGGCGTGGTGGCTCACGCCTGTAATCCTAGCTCTCTGGGAGGCTGAGGCGGGCGGATCGTTTGAGCTCAGGAGTTCGAGACCAGCCTGAGCAAGAGCGAGACCCCGCCTCTACTAAAATTAGAAAGAAATTAATCGGCCAACTAAAAATATATAGAAAAAATTAGCCGGGCATGGTGGCGCGTGCCTGTAGTCCCAGCTACTCGGGAGGCTGAGGCAGAAGATCACTTGAGCCCAGGAGTTTGAGGTTGCTGTGAGCTAGGCTGACGCCACGGCACTCACTCTAGCCCGGGCAAAAGAGTGAGACTCTGTCTCAAAAAAAAAAAAAAAAAAAAAGTGGCATATGCACGCAATGGAGTACTATACAGCCACGAAAAGGAAATACTGATGATGCTACAACGTGGATTACCCTCAAAAATACTGCGCTAAGTGGAAGAAAGCAGTCAAAAGATCAGGCTGGTATGATTCTATTTTTACGGAATGTGAGGAATGGGCAAACCTGTAGAGACGAAAAGCAGATCAGCCTGGGTCTGGGAGTAGGAACACGGAGGGGCCATAAATGGGAAAGAGGAACTATTCTGAGCTGGTGAAAGCCGTGCAACTCCGTGGATTCACTGAGAAAGTGTTCAACTTTCCACTTAACACGGATGCATTTTATGCTGTGCAAGTTAAAGCAGAAAAGATACAGGGTCCAAAACTGGCCCACGATAGAGGGGGGCTTGCGTCACCGTCCCTCCGCTGTGCCGGTGGCAGTAGCATGCTTCCTCAGG